TTTTTGTTGGAATTTTTCCAGATTGACAGAAGAAATCAACATAAACCCAAACATAAAAAATGTAGTGTTCCTTATTGGGGACAAAAGTGCACAAAAAAACAAAAAAAAGTTAAGTTCTGAGGCCATGTGATTTCTAAAAAGGATTGTGTGGTTAAAGTGGCACCAGTCTTCAAATAGTTTGACCTTTTTGAGTGGTTTTGTGTGTAAAATAAGATCGTACCTATTCTCAGTCTCCTTGAACAGCCAGTTTGGAGAAATAGTTGGATTCTGAAAGGACAGACGAGCCAGCTGCAGTCTGAACACAGCTGATCAACGTGAACTGTTGTCATTTTTTAACAGCCTCTTTAACATTTCACAGCAGCGATGCTGAGGTGGGCCACAATGTGCACAGCCAATACAATTTGCAAGCTGTGCACAGAAAAACAAACCATGTTTTATAGAAATTGGCAGTACAAAATGTGGCCACATGGCTTGCTGGTCACAGACACAAGTTTGGTGAAACTACAAATGAAAATCTGCTTTTTCATACAATTTTGATCCTCCACCAGTTGCTGCCCAGTGAGGTACTGGCTTTACCCACCAGCAGCTAGGGGTAACAATTTTGGAGCCATCCGTGGCATTTCCTGCAAAAAATGTTAAAATATTTTTGCTGAGATACAAATATATGTATTTTGTAGTTGTATGTACCGGTAGTAGGCAATATATTTTAAATAATTGAGTGTACACTAGCCTCAAGGAGCGGCATGGGTTTGCCTTCCTGTGAACCCACCACCTGTAGGAAGGGCCATAAAAGTCGGGTGCGTGATGCCATGGGCAGTGGCCGAAGGCAGGGTCCTTGGCGCTCTGACCCTGGCTTACTAAAGCTAGCTCTTGGGATATGGAATGTAACCTCTCTGGCAGGGAAGGAGCCTGAGCTTGTGCGTGAGGTTGAGAGGTACAGACTAGATATAGTTGGGCTCACCTCGACGCACAGCATGGGCTCTGGAACTGATCTCCTTGAGAGGGGCTGGACCTTATTCCACTCTGGAGTTGCCCATGGTGAGAAGCGTCGAGCTGGTGTGGGTCTACTTGTAGCCCCCCCGACTTGGTGCCTGTGAGTGGGAGTTTTCCCCAGTAGACAGCTCTCACTGGTGCGGTTCGCAGCCGAGTGTGAAGCGGCTGGGACGAGAATCAGCACCTCCAAATCTGAGGCCATGTCCTCAACCGGAAAAGGGTGGATTGCTCTTTCCAGATTGAGGGTGACGTTGTCTGAAGTGGAGGAGTTCAAGTATCTTGGAGTTTTGTTCACTAGTGAGGGAAGAACAGAGCGTGACATTGACAGACGGACTGGTGCAGCATCTGCAGTATTGCAGACTCTGTACCAGTCCGTTGTGGTGAACAGAGAGCTGAGCAGTAAGGCAAAACTCTCTGTTTATCGGTTGGTCTACTTTCCTACCCTCACCTATGGTCATGAGCTCTGGGTAATGACCAAAAGAATGAGATCGCGGATACAGGCGGTTGAAATGAGTTTCCTCTGCAGGGTAGCTGGACTCTCCCTTAGAGATAGTGAGAAGTTTGGTTATCCAGGAGAGATTTGGAGAAGAACCGCTGCTCCTTCACATCGAGAGGAGCCAGTTGAGGTGGTTCGGGCATCTGCTAAGGATGCCCCTTGGACGCCTCCCTAGGGTGGTGCTTCGGGCATGTCCGACTGGGAGGAGATGCCGAGGAAGACCCAGGACAAGCTGGAGAGACTATGTCTCTCGGTTGGCCTGGGAACGCTTTGGAATACTCCCAGAAGAGCTGGAAGAGGTGGCTGTGGAAAGAGATGTCTGGGCCTCCCTGCTCAAGCTGCTGCCCCCGTGACCGACTTCAGAACAAGCGGAAGATAATGGATGGATGGACAGTACAATACCACTATGAAATTCTGAAGATTGAAGTTGTTTTAAGACTTCCTCTCTTTGGTTTTAGCTGTGTTTGGATTAGTTATTAGCTCATCAGTCCTCTTATTTCTCCAAACTGAGATTGTTTAAGAAGCTATCCACACCAGGTAACATGAATTATTTTTAACTTTCACACAAAAACACATTTCAAAATAACATTTAAAGGTTCGTTTGACCTCACACAGTGGCTTTGTGTAATAGAAATATCTGAAGTATTAACAGTACTAAATACATTTGCAAAGTTGGAGCTTTGACAACTTTTCCCTCTCACATGTGTGACCCTTCAGACACTTTCATGCAAGCTCTTTCAGTCAAACTACGAAAAGGAGGGCTTGTATTTCCTCTTGTACAAGCTAAATTGTGAAACATTTCAAGTGAGTCGGGCTGAAAGGAGCGGTGACATGGCTAACAGAAGCCAAACCTGGGATCAGAAACACGAGTGTGTTTAAGTGTTCTCCGTCTTTGAAAAGCCTTAGTTTGAGCTTGTCTCATAAATATGACTCCAGTTTGTCAAACGAAACACATCCTGCCTTTTTTAACCCCACAGACCCTGATTACTACCACGTGGCAGCATCAATGACAATAAATGTCATTTATTGTTACGGTATACATATTGATAAAAATTATGTAAAAACATTATGCAAAGCAGTGAAAAATAGTTTATAATACAAAATGGTTGCAAGTTTTTACAACTTTTTGGGTGTTTTGTCGGTGAATAGGACACACTGGCTGTATTTGCAAGGTTTCTGTGGTACAGTTGAGATGAGACATGCTTATAGGAGTAGATGAGATGCTCAGAGTCCAACTAACCTCTGAAGCTCTGTCTACAAACAAAGCTGTGAAGCCAACTTGTTTAAAGTGTAAGAAAACAGTGAAGATAATGTAACACTGGCACAAGCTGACAGTGTGAATGCCTCATTTAGGTAGAAGACAGAAGCTAAAGAACAAAGTTTAGCCAGAATGTTGCTTAGGCCTGCAAACTCCACCAGAGGCATCACAAATATTGTTGGTTCAATTCAATTTGAAACAAAATGGGACTATTGAGTGATTTCCTGTTCAACAAGATGTCCGAGGTGAAGCGTTTTATCTGGACTAAGAAAAGGATGCGAGTATTATCAGGTGGTTTAAACATTAAGTTTAGAAGCAGAACAAAGGCTGTGAGATCAGCAGTGACAGGTCTGCCAGATTTGAGTTTTCAACCTCCGCTTTTGCTGCGTTTGCAGGTCTTAGGACTAAAGAGAGGTGGGGAGGCCTGGGAGAACTCTGCCATAAGGTGAGAACAGTACAGTCAAAGGTCGTGATAAGGATGGCGGAGAGGAGGTGGTGGTGTGTTCAGAAAGGTGGGTTCTCCTGAGTGGGGGTGGTGTCACTGGGGGAGCCAACAGCCTCTTCATTCCCTCTGGGGCCGACAACCTTATACTGAAGAAGGGGAGAGGATTGTAAGTGGGGGTATACAGATTCATCAGTTTCTGATTCCTGTGATTACATTAAATCCTGTCACCCCCCCCCCTCCCAAAAAACAAACAAAAAAAAAAACCACACAAGACCACAGACCGACCACCAGTACTCACCTTCAGGTTCCCCACTTTATCCTCAAAGGACTTGAATGTTGGAGAGTTTCTGTACAACAAAAACAAAACTAGTTTAATTAAAGGCTTTCACTTTGATTATAATCACCCAAAATAAAGCTCAGCACTAAACTAAGATTACACTGAGTTGAAAAAGCATTAATACCCTCTCGGTATTTTTTTTATTTTGTTGCCTTCCAACCTGGAATTTAGTTGGAAAACACAGAATAAACTTAAATGTGAAAAACAAAATTTGTTTAAATTAACATTTCTGAAGAATAAACTGAAAACAATGTGTGCATATGTATTCAGCCCTGAAGTTGAATCAGTGGTTTCATTTCAATAAACTCAAAGGCAGCCAGACCGAGGCCTTATTTACACAGACACGTGGGGGGAAACGTATGTTTCGTATCTTAATTAGAGGAAAAGACCCTCGTTGACATGGATAAATTTTGTGTTTACATGCATCCGGAAGAATCTCAGCCCGCCTCTCTGAATCCGCTGTAGTTACCATGCCGGGTCATTAGATGGCGCTGTGAATTTTCTACCTTCACCTAATGAGCATGCTGCTGCCTCGGCACACTCCTTTCCTCTGGGCTAAAAGCTCAGCTAACAACATCCTAACAACAAGTTATAGCTGGATTGTGGATAAGTCAACAGATTGGACATCAAGCGGGACCGCTTCATCTAACAGCTCCACACCGGTCGCTGAGTGGACCAGAACAGAGTCTACGATGATGTCGGACTTTACTCCGTGATAATCAGTAGCTGTACAGCAGGTAAATCAAATGTTCTTAATAATGTTTGTTTGTGTTTACTTCGATCACACAACAACCAGCTGAGTTTTTATTTTTATTTTTCCTGCGAGGAGAAGCTGTCCTTCCACCAGAGGCGGACCGGTTCCGAACGAGGCTCATCCCAGGTGTGCTGCAGGAGGACGTCAAAGAGAGATGTCATGGTGGATGAACTATGTATTTAAAATTCCCCTCAGTTCTGGTGTCGTGTAAATGATCAGCAGAACTGCAGAGAGAAAGCTGCGGATCCTCTCAAAATATGTACCGTGTAAACGGCCCCTGAGTTGTATAGCTCTGTCATAGATCAAATGGATCAGTACCGTAATTGCCGGTGTACAAGCCACTATTTTCTTCACACTTTGTACCCCACGGTTTATATGCAGGAGCGGCTAATTTATCAAATTTTATTTTTCACAATTTCCCTAAGTTATATTTTATTTTGACAGACTTCCTGCCACTGACTAACTTCTTTTGACAGAGCTGGGCGCTCATGGCTGCCCAGCGCCCATCCCTCTTGGGGGCGGGCTTGTGTGACACAGAGTGAATGCCCTCAGGTGACCACATGTACAAAGTCTCTTGCTCAGGGTTTCAAATTCTCTACCATAACTCCTCCCACTCTGTCATCATGTGACCAGAAGTCTAACCTGAATGACCAATGAGGTACTCTTGAGGACCATCCCCCACGATAGACGTGCATTAATTTCTTCAGATCATTACCGTATTTTATGCTTCATGCACAGACCGGTTCATTAGTTCAGCAATAATGGAAAACGCATGGAGAACTTCTTATGATGCTGCTTTCATGTCAAAAATGATCGGCTGTTGAGGAGGAAACAGAGCTGCCGCCCGTAAGGTTTGCATCAACATGTCAATGGTCGGGCACTGGAGACACAAAAGCAGTCAAGGCTGGTACGTGTTTTAATAAAAGTTTTTAAATTATTTCTGTGCGACATCTTCCTGTGTATGGTAAATATGCGTTTAAATACTGGGATCTCATTTTAAACTCACTCATTTTAAACGCACTCCGAACACAGAGCGGAGAATAACAGGAGGGATCTTCCCCCGCTCCACTTTCCGTCATGAGCTCAGCAAGCGGTGGAGAATTCGTCAATTTATTTTTAAAGCAGTCGGTCCGTCAAGACGAATAAGATATTTAAATAAAAGTTAAAAAAAACTTTCTGTCTATGGTAAATGTGTGTTTAAATACCAAAATCTAATTTAAGCTCCACACAGAATGGAGGAGCACTACAGGAGGGGGAGGGCTGTTCCCCTTCCTCCTCCTCCTCCTCCTCATATTATTATTATTTTCTCATTGACCCTTTATTTATCCAGGTAGTCTCATTGAGCCACTAGAACTCATTTTCAAGAGAGACCTGCTTAGGGAGCAGATGGACCTGCTTAGGGAGCAGATGGACCTGCTTAGGGAGCAGATGGGGGTTAAGGGCCTTGTTCATGGGCCCAGAGTGGGGCGAATGAGGGTGGGGGCAGGTGTGGGTGGATCTTTGGGATGAACCAGTCTTTGCCGTAATGTATTTTGGGGTTTAAAAGCCACTGGGACGTTATGTTTATTTTCTAAACATAACATAACAATGGTTGTAACCATGAGTCAGACAGTGAAGCTTCATGAAGACTCGTGATGATCGTGCAGTCCGAGCGTGTGTTGAAATCAAGCTATATTCTGTGAAACGCCATCTGGTGGCTGATTCTTGTACTACAACAAGAAAACTGCACACTGACGGAGCCGGCTGGGGGCAAAGATCCTTATGATGAAAGGTGGATGCCTGCGGCTAAATAAGTGGAGCTTCTTATTTATATACAAAATTATGATTGAACTTATATTTAGTATGTGCAGCTTAGAGACTGGTGTGTTCTGTAGTTCGAGAATTACAGTAGTTCTCAAACTGGCAAGCTGGTCCCTTCGGGGTCCGCAAAAAATAAATAATAAAATAAATTGAAAAAATAAAATAAAAATATTAATAATAATAACAATAATAATAATTATTATTATTATCTGTTGTTGTAACTCATTATCCTCATTTCATTAAGAGATGTTATAGATGCTGATGCTGTAGGCAGGAAGGATCTCTTGTAAAGGTCCATCCCACAGTGGATCCTAAGAAACTGGCTGCAGATGCCGTCCGATCCGTCCACCCAGACTCAGCTGGACTCTCGGTTCCCCCGGGCTGTAGGACCGCCTGAATGCCAGGCAGAACTCCTCCCAGAACAATGGCCACTCCTCCCATCAGTCTGCCGAGCTCCTCGTCACTGCGGACAGCCAACTGTAGGTGCTGAGGGACGATCCTGTCCTTCCGCTGTCATGAGCCGTGTTTCCTGCTAGTTCCAGGATCTCAGTGGTCAGGCACTCGAGCACAGCTGGCAGGTAGATGAGAATGTGTCCACAGAACATCCTTTCAACTCATTTGAGATTTGGGGCTGTAGTTGAGATATTATTTGAGCTTTTGAGATGTTAATCAGCTGATTTTCACTGACGTTTCACTAGCTATGTTTACATGCGCAGAATTCTTTGACCGGATTGAAATGTTTCAGATTAAATAATTCAAATGTATTGTTTACATGGGCACAATCTGTTCATGACGAGCGTTTACCTGCAGCGGACTTTGTTCTGAACAGCAGTACTGACATGCGCAGAGTGGTCAACTCTCCTTAAAAAAAACACCGAAGAAGAAGTTCTACTTCCGGGTGAACGTAAACAAACCTGAGCACCCAAAATGGACCCGCGACAGGTTTTAATGATGGTGGAGACGTTATTGCACTCCCTGACTGAGCTACAGGTGATACAGATCATTTTGAGCTCTTTCAAAGTTTCTAATAGAAATGTTGTGCTGCTCACCGACCAGTTTTACTTCCCTGACATGCTAATATTATTAGCGTTAGCCAGGCGGAAATGGCAAAGTCGCACATGCGCAGTCAGGTCAGTTTTTCACCATCAGATAAAAATGAACAGATCAAGCGTATACATGCACACCCATCGGGTTTCGGATCGGCGTAAACCACCCGTTTCGTTCTGATCACAAATTATAACGGATCGCGCCGAATACACAAAAAATAACCCGAACGGAGCGTTTACATGACACACTTTTATTCTGACCGGCCATTTGATCCGGTTACTTATGTCCATGTAAACATACCCACTTACGTATATAAATTCACTGACATTGAATCAGCCCGTCATGTTATTTTCCACTTTCATATTGAGTATGAATCCAAATCCAGATCTCCATGGTGTAATCATTTTGATTTACATTGATAATTTTTATGTTATTTTATTCTCAAGTAATTCCACTGTGTTAATAATAAAGTTTGTCAATGAGAATATTTAATTGAGGTCTAGGATGTGTTATTTTAGTGTTCCCTTTAATTTTGTGAGGAGTGTATATATTACAAGCGCGTTAAAATCATAGCTGCAAACTCAGAAGGGATGAAAAAGGTGACAAACCTAGCCCCCCGCCGCCCAAGTGTTTGTGAATTTTTTTACATGCAAGTTCAGCATTCTGGTACACTTCAACAAGAACATTAGGGGGAATGACAACATGCTTTAGGTAAAACAGACATGCACTAACATTCTAATTTAATTAGGACATGCAGAGCAAAGATGGTGTCAACCAAAAATAAATAAATAAATAAATAAATAAACAACAAGCAACAAACGCAGCAAGCCAACCAAAGAAACCAAATATAGCGGAGCATTTTGCTAAGAGCAAAATATTATTTTCTTAAATGTTCTGGCCTGGACAAGACTTTCAAGGGCCATTTCTACTGCTTGGCCATGCATCTCCTTCATCACTGGCGTCAGAAGCATTTGTAATGTGCGGCTGTGGCTCAGTGGTTAGAGCAGTCGTCCTCTAATGCAAGAGTTGAGGGTTCGAATCCACCAGCAGTCACATGCTGAAGTGTCCCTGGACAAGACACTGAACCCCTCATTGCCTCTGATGTGTGTCTCATCAGAGTCAGAGTGAGAGAGTCAGAGTCAGAGTTTCTTTATTGTCATTCGCACCTCATGTGGTACATGTGGTGGAGCGAAATTATGTACACGGGGTCCCAGTTACATCCAACAATAAAATGTAAAAGAAAAACAGTAATAACATCTAAGATATGAACTAAGAAAAACATCAACTAAATATACACTAAGCACTCATAACATAAAACATTGAACATCAGCACAAACATGAACATGAGTCTGTGAGCAGATGTGCACGCATGAACACATCAACATTGAAACAGATCAGCAGCAACATGA